TTAAAACAATTGTTGTGTGATAATGACAAGGAGTTTGGGTCAAAAAATGGTTATCAGCAAAGAGTGGAAAGCAGAAATGTTTAACAGTATAGAAAATCATCACCCTTTCAAAGTCTCACATATTTTTATTTGAAAATAAAGACTGTCATATGAAAAATGTTATTGTCAAATTAATTAAATCTTGAAATTTCATCCTGCATGTTAGTTTTGTTATGATTTTCATTGATATTTCTTATCACTTATTTAATCAAATATTTTACAATCAGTTTTGCTCTCTTGATTTCCTTGAGAAATATATAACATGCAACTGCTAAAATTGAGGGGGAAAAAGTTAAGGTTGATAAAGCCAAAATGATTGGATTATATTAATATATATACACACACATACATCTCTAATAATTTATTCAGTATTATAATCAAGCTTTTCAGAGCCTTTGTTTGTTTTTGATGTAGCTTATGAGTAAAGAAATATGTTGGAGAAAGTAGTTTAAGTTGTTTTGACTGGTGGTGTTATTCCCAGAAAATGTGTTGCTGCTTCCAAAATAATATCATTTTCCCAGAAAAAAACCGAATCAGTAGAAAGTGCCCTTTGAGGCTTGGCAGGCGGCGTGCGAGCGATGCAGGTCATTTCGAAGCAGGTTCGTTTGAGATGGAAGAAGTGACGCTCTCCATCCTAGTTCTCTGGTTAAACGAGGTTAATAGAGTTTTTAGTCTCATCGCAGTCCCTGCTCTGAAGGCACTCAGAGTCTTTCAAAGGAGATCTAATTTAAAAAATTAAAGAATGCCTGTCTATCAAATGCCATCTACCTCTCTATTATTTATCCATTTCTATGCAACAGTTGGAGGCTTGTTTATTATAGATGTGGCTCAACAGGCATAGAGAAATAATTTCTACTTTTCTGTAACAGTGAACTTTTCGGTTTAAATACAAGTAGGGAACCATCAGACATTTTGCTAAACACCTTTTTACTTCATTGAGCCTTAATAGAAAAAATTGTTATGGTATTTATATATATATATATATCTATATATATATTTTAACATAGAGTTGTATAAATTGCCTTGTTTTTCACTTAAAATCTTTCCCAATCAGTAGGTTTACAGTTGTATGTGCTGAAACAGTTTATTATTGTATTATTATTTATTAATTATTGTATTATTTTCCACTCAAACAACTGTAAACCTACTTTGGCTCCACCCTGTATACACAGACTGAAGACCATGTTGGAGATTCCCTCCAGTTAACTTTTAATTTTTCTCATTAAAGATTCTCTCTAAATAACTGTTGTAACTATCACAATCTATTTTCTAATACAAAGTTAGAAAGAGGATCACAATTTTTAAAAAATATATTTTATTGATTTTTTACAGAGAGGAAGGGAGAGGGATAGAGAGTCAGAAACATTGATGAGAGAGAAACATCGATTAGCTGCCTCCTGCACACCCCCTACTGGGGATGTGCCCGCAACCAAGGTACATGCCCTGGACTGGAATCAAACCGGGACCCTTCAGTCCTCAGGCTGACACTCTATCCACTGAGCCAAACCAATCAGGGCTCCCTATATCCTTTTAATCTATGCTCTCTAACAGGTGAAGAGGGTATTGAATTATTATTGTTTTAATTCCTATTTTTTATTATTGTTAAAGATGAACCTTTTCCCATTTGTATTTCTTCCCTGGTAAATTTCTACTTTATGTACTTTGTCCATTGGTCTGTGGGGTGTTTCATTTTTTTCTTATTGGTTTATAAGAGGTTTTCATGTTGTGTGACATATATGGTACCAGTATCTTTGCATAGTTTCTCATTTGCCTTTTAACTTTGTAGTAACTTTTTAAAAATTTATGTAATTAAATCAGTTGATATTTTCCTTTATGGTTATTTGGGGTCATACTTAAAAAAGTCCTCCCCCACCCCCAAATCAGGTAAATATTCACTCAGATGTTCTTCTAGCAATCCTTTTAGTATACATATACATACTAGAGGCCCAGTGCACGAATTCGTGCACAGGTGGGGTCCAGCTGGCCCGGCCCCAATCAGGGCGGATCAGGGCCAGGCCTGTCGGGAGGAGGAGACAGCGGGAGGTTGGCTGGCCAGCCTGCCCTGATCAGGGCCGGGTTGGCTTTGTGGAGAGGCCTCGGGTGATTGGCCAGTGGGCCCTGTCCCTGATTGGAGTGGAGGGGGCCGATTGAGGGTGGGGCTAGCCATGTGGAGGGGCCATGGGAGGTTGGCTGGCCAGCCCCACCCCCGATTAGTGTGTGTGGGGCCACTCGGGGGTGGAGCTGGCTGGGGGGAGGGGCCATGGGCTGATGGGGTGGTGGGGGCTGATTAGGGGTGGGGCTGGCTGTGGA